GGAAAAAGGAAAAGTTTTTTAAAAGCCGTGTTAAACAAAACACGCGGAAACTGCTCACAGTCGATCGCGCTTTATGCCGATTTGAGGTGGCAATTTACTCCTTACACCTGCGCTCTCGTTGTTTTCTATCGGTTTTTACGGTAAAATTATCCTTTGGTGTTAATTTTTAATCGAAATTTCCCTCGCTTCGTCGACCGCGACGCTTCGAATTTAAATTTCCTATCGCACGGACGATTCGCCCATCACCCAAGTTGAATTATTACTCGATAATAAAAGCAGTTTCCCGCGACCAATTTGCCGGGCTGCGAATTCTTGCAGTTCTTTCGATTTCACCGATATTCGGTGTTTGTGCTTCTTTTTGCTGAAAAATGGCGACGTATCAAGCGCCACTCGACCGATGTTGGTAAAGGTGAAAGCGACGAGGTCTTTGATCTTAAGTCGACATTTATTGGGGTCAAATATATGGCTAATGACTCTACTTTTATGGCTGTAATGGTGTATAATAATTTGTACTTTCTTTGAATGGTTTGTATGCAGTTGATTCAATTTGCCTGCTATAAATAAATGGGGTCCCTTTAACCCATGTCTGGATAGACTTCAAAATAGAATTTGTAACCGCAGAAATACAAATAATGCGACACACGTAACACTGCAATGAAAGTTACTAAAATGAATAGAATCCTAAAAAAACAGTTTTTTAACGCATTCACGATTTTTGTATGGTACAATTACATAGCCCTGCAATTTACCTGATCTTAAATTTGTACAGGTCACAGACAGTTTCAATAGAATGTAATCCCGCATATTGCACCGCAGTTGGTGATAAAGTGCTTTTTAAAACAGCGCTTTCACAATTTGAATGCGGCACAAATTTGTGTGTTACGTTTGCTACCATCTGCCGTCAAATGCTGACTGTATAGAATTTAGAATTCTTGCAAAAAAGACTACTGCTCAAACGCTAGCTTAACAAAGCTGACGTCATTTGTTAGACAATGTTCGGAAAGTTCGCCATTTTAATGTTTAAGGCCGCGCTTATTTTATATTCTACCTAGTGAATATTAAACTAACTAAATGTTCTTAACTTAACTAACTATATTATGTGTATATATTGGGACAGATGTACCAAAATCAAACAAATCAGGAAATATTTTAAGTACTAGAATATTTTTTTTTTTACTATAAATATTTTAAGTACTAGAAGTAGGGATCTAACTACCATTTGTCTTGGGGGAGACCTCTAGTGACATTTCTGAAAATTTACAATGCGTTGCCAACTAAGGTTATAACAACTAGAAAACTTTCCTTATCTAACAAACCGGTAGAAGAATTTCTAATAGAAAAATGTTTTTACTGACATTATGAATTCTTTGGGGCAACTAAAATTTGTGTGTGTTCTTGTTCTTACAATTTGTTACTTCCTTATCCTAGATTCGCTCATGACAATTCTTTACATATTGCATGCAAGTATATAGAAATTAATGAAATAAAAAAACTGAAAAATAAATTATTAGTGTATAGTGTAAGAGCAATGACGTGATTTTCACTAGTACAAGAACCAAAGAAGTTTTCAAGAACATGTAAAGTTATTGAGGTGGATAGTTTTTCTAAGAGCACTTAAAAGTTTTGGTAAGTAAATAAATAACACATACAAATAAATAAGCGAAATATAAATTCATAAATTGTTCTAAAAATCGATGGTTTGGTGGTGTAATTCCTATGCACACTTTTTTGATAAAAGCTAAAACATCCATTATCCTCTTTGTTGATTGTCGGTGTGCGCTTTTTAAAACTTTATGCAATGTTTAGTGAAATTAATAAATCTACATAATTTCTATTAAAATCGAAGTAACATAATGACAAGCAATATAGAACGAACTGGGCACCGAAATTCGTGAGATTTTCCAACAAATGAGGTCATCAGCGGTCGCTGCCCATTCTTGGCCGCTCATAATATACCCATAAATTTAGGACAACTTTTAATGCCAGACAATAAAATCAATATCGCATGTAAAAAACTAATAAACAAGTTACAATCCTGCTAGAGCCGCTATAACAGTGGGCGACTATGTAGGTGCATCTTTGACTTCAAAGTCGCATGTGTCAATCTTGTGGTGGTTATCACGAGTATGGCGCAACCGGTAATTGCGTATTACATTAGCAACTGGTGACATAATGCGACATAACGGTTTAGAAAGTCCTTCTCCCATAATGTGTCGATTCAGGGTACGCCTCTAAGATGATCTGTAAGTTTACAGAGTTGTTGCTGTTTGTTGTTTTGATCAGCTGTTTGCTGTCGTATGTGTAGGAGGTCTATAGGTCGATCTTAATACAAAACCGTTTTATCGCCCGTTGCCATATTCTTAGATCCTGTTATTGCTTTTAATACATCCGCGACAAGTAATATACAATAAACAACTATGCAGCGGTATCTAGTGAAATTCGGGAATGCAAAAGACTCTAATGAGCAAAATATTTACTGCACTGTTTTTCGAAACATAATGAATGGCTCCTTATTTCGTTTCGTAAATTTTGTTTAAGTTGTACTTTACAATCGAATCCGAACGTAAACTCTGTGGTGTTTAGGACTTTCTGCGCATGTTCTGTGCCGACGTCGCCTCCCGTGATCCCGGAGGTAGAAGATTATTAAAGCACCGATATCAAAACTGCTATCCGGAAGCCGCCGCTTACCCAATCAAAACGACTTCGGAAAACTCTAGAGAATGATTTAGCCGTCGCCGCTTAAATTACAACGACCTTCGCGTGGCACTGTTGTTTGCCACTGACCATACGTCATGTTTTATTCAACGCATTGTTGATGAATTATTTAAATAAGATTTGCAAATAATTGGATTTAGCAGAGTATTTTACAATACTTGGACTTTGCGATTGCTTCTTTAAGCAGAGAATCATAGCTCAAAATAGTTGATTAAGGCAGATGTGGAAAACCATTCTCTGAGGTTGCTTAACCATGAACTTTGATAATTGAATGGGATCTAAACGCATTTTGACAAAATGCTGCCGAAAAATGTTATATCCAAACTGGTGTTCACAAGAAAAATATATTTGGTGGGATTATCATGAAATAATCAAAAATATTATTAATAATATCTTCAAAATGTGCTTTTAGGTTCAAATTCACTAATTGCGCTCCTGTTCTCCAGCAAGCAGTGGCACAAGCAGCCAAGCATTTTCATTTGTGTACTATCAGCTATTACTTTCACTAGATATTACTTATTATTTTAAGCTATACTGCCTATACAATTCAGACCCTAGCGCTTGCAAAAATTGAATATTAAAATTGAAATATGTTTTATGTACCTTTTAAATTTAAAATTGTTTATTAGTAAAATCATAAAACCAATATTTGCTTTATGAATGTGTGTGTACAAAACATGGTCCACTAGTTCACTGTTATCACTATTACGTGAACTAAAATAGCTATTAGATAATATGATGATCTTACTACGGAAAACATTAATGCGATGCGAATGCGATATTTTCTTACTAAACAGCGATGTATACACACCAACTTTTTCACGATCTGTCAGCGGCATTGTTGGTTAAAAATGAGATTTCTTCTTTCTTCATAAGTTTCTGTATTAGCAGCATAGGCAAGGCCTCTATATCTCTAGTAGATATATGAACGGACTTGTATCTATCGCGATCTATATTTTCACACTATCAAACTACCGGTCTAAATGATTTTCTTTTAAAAAATGTAGTGGATTTGTCTGATAAGTCAAACGGTGGATTGCTGCTCTATTTTTGAGGATGCTTACATGTTCGGTAAGGTTGCAGATTCAGATTTCTTGTTACGTTTGACGACAAACAATAAAAAATGGACTTGACTGACTTTCCATCATAGTTTTCACTGTCAGTGATTCAATTACCATTTTCATGTTTCTTGTCCGTATCTGCCTAATTAACCGAAGTATGCTCATTGTCTGGTTGACAATTCATTGTCACATTGAGTCCTTTCGCAAGGTTGCTTGTGGATCCAAAAGTGCCTGTTATATCAGCACAGGCAAGTTAAGTATATGATACGCATAGGTACAAAGTCTGGGTCACTTGTGATGAAGCAGTTACTAGGTTATAATAAAGTACAAGACTGTTATTGCGAAACTCAGACCATTAGTAACGCAAAGTATCGTGCCAATTAAACGAAGCAACGGGTTATTGATTTTAATTTGTTGCCTTAGATGTAGGAGAAAAACCAGGTCAACCCATGACACCCCGCAGTATTACGATTACGGGCTCGTCTTGGCGTCTTTGCAACAAAGAAATCGAATTGTTCGCTAAATATCACCGGTTTCTCTTTCGATCTTCGTCGGACGAACTGCATTGTTAAGCAAATGCCTATTCAAAAATTGACCTCGATTTATTCCATTGTGATATAATGAATTTAAAAAAACACCGAAACGAAATGAAATTTTATTTTAAATAACACCTACATGACTATAAGATGGTAACTATAAGGATAATCGACAATATTCCAAGATGTTACTCGCAGAGTACGGCACCGAATATTATTTATTGTTTTTAATTTCAATTTTGTCAAAAGCTAATCTAATTTGTTTTTCTCGAGTATCTAGGAAGTAGGTATGTAAGTTGTTAATTTGACATGAACAACTGAAAAAACTCTACAAGGCAATTATAAGGCACTGGTCAATTTAAATCAACTTATAGTTCCTGTTGAACATCCAGTATACGATTATCCACTAGAATTGGGACACATCGAACAATATATTGTTACACTTTACCAAACTTAAATTCCTGCCGTTAATTTAAAACGTTAAGAAGCCGAATCAGAGAGACGACCCTGAATAAAGCTCTAGAACAATGGAGGGAGTCACAATAGATCCTTTGTCAGTATATATTGCGATCAAGTCGACTAACCACACAGTTCTCCAACCTGTCAAATTGTTTTGGAGGCAAACATTGCTTTGTTAAATAACCACCTTCTACCTGCTATTTATTTATAACCATCGTTTGCCTTCTAGGACGAACCTAAACACGCAAAAAGAGAATCGCAAAGTACCGCGGAATCTCAAACCAAAGATATCGACGATAACAGCATCGACAGCGACAGTACTGAATCAGATTCGACCAGCGTTTCCGACGAAGACTCCAAAGAACCTATCCGCTTCAAACTTCCGCTGCAACTGGACTTTGATGATTTGGCGGGTGCGATGATCGCCAAGAACCAGAAATCGAAAATGAACTGCATCGTGGAGAAGAAGAAGGCGGAAGAAGTAGTTGACCACCAACCCAAAACTGTGAGGTTGCCGTTCGGAGTAAACCTCACTACCGATCCTAGATACGAAAGGCTTACGGGTGAAAGGATGGTCATCATATGCGAGAGTGGAAATATGTTAAGGTACTTGCAATATCATTATTTTTTCCGTACCTAATATGTGCTCCATTTATTTGATTATTAGTATTTTTCGTACTTCTATACATGTACTATTTCACGTCCCGTAGCTTAAGGTATCCAAGGTCTCAAAGGGTCTTTAAATATTAATATAGAAAATGATGGGTGAAATAAAATATGTGTACATGGTATCGATATTTCAAAAAATTAAGTAAACTAAACTAGGCCAGTTGTCACTTTAAAACGTCAGCTTCATTAAATACTGCCGCGAGTCAGTTCGCGCATTTCCAGTAATTTAATCACGTGTTTGTCGGTGGCGGTGGTAGAAAAAGTTTACTATACAACGCTCTAATAATCTTCTTCAGACACTTGTTTATTAAACAATTCCACCCTCCTTTTTCCTAAACAAAATCGCCGCTAAAGTATCCTTTATAAAACGTGTGGCGTAATAAAAAAAGAAAAATATGACAAAAAATTTGAAAAAAATATATTTGGTCACATTTGGATACTTTATCCACTATCGTTGATTAAAAACGTGTCTCAAAAATGTCAAAAAGCTGGGAACCACTGACTACGGAGTAACATTTTTACTGCGAAAAAATATATATCTGTTGTTTTCTCTATGTCACACTCTCTCGAACACATTAGGATCTCAAAAATGATTAGAAAACTGACTGATTCAAATCGGGGAATTAAACGCCATAATAAATATTAATATTAAATATGGCGAAAAGTAAGACAATTTGAAAAGCAAAAATATGCTCACATGTTACTATTAAATATTTGAGCCTACGCTCCTTTTGTAATCTCAAAAATATCCCTTGTTTTAATCTGTTTACAATAAACAATTGGAGGTGAACGAACTAAGAAGTCAAATTTGCAAATCGCTGAAATCCGTTCATCAAGTCACGTTCATTGTATGCAACGGTACAGTATTACGCATTGTTCGCAGAAGGTCTAAGCATCGAGCATAACGTTTCGACACGTTTTGTTTGAAGGTGGTGAAAGTTGCGGTTAATAAAAAGCAAAGCCAAGAAATTGCCCAACAAACTTTGCTAAAATAAATATTAAAACGAAACTTGAAAGCAAAAGATATTTTCGGAAAAAGACGACACGGCTATCGAGTTAAAAGGTACCACGCTTAAAAAACCTTTCTCTTTATATTGCCCGGAATTGTTATTCTACGGTCATTGGCAAGTCCATTAAAAACTAGCCGAAATTCTTAGAAGTCTACTGACCCGTTACGTAAATAACAAAGCGTTTCAATAACGTTTACCGTTATCGAATTAAATTTCGTTACAGCGCGCAACCCCAGCAACCTGAAAAACACCAAACAGAAGACGAAGAAGACGACAATGAACCAGACACTATTATGATCCAACCTGTGATGATTCCTATTCCTCACACCGCATTCCAAACTCATATGCCCCAACAAGCTCAACCGTCATATCAGCAACAGCCACTACCTCCTCAAATGCGTCCACTCCACCCCATGGAGACTTTGAGGCCACCAATGCCCCCTGTCAGACAAGCTATGGAACCCATGAGACCTCAAATGGAACCAATGAGACCTCCCTTTGAACAAATGAGGCCTCAGATTATTGCCGTAAGACAGTTCGAAGGTCCGATGAGGCCCATGAACTCCCAACGGGAAAGTTTCGACCAAGAGCCACCAAGAGTAGTAGCCATTCCATTCAGACCGCCAATGCTTCCTGAGAAACAGCAAGCTGCCCCGGAAAGGCCCCAAATTATGGCCATTCCCCAAGAGGTTGGTTGCTGAGTGTTAGTATGCAAGTGAAAGGTTAAAACTTTTATTTCCAGGTGCAAATTCGTGTACAAGCGCAGACGCAGTCGCAACAAGGTGATGTTCCTCCGAACCCCATAATTCACCACATCATTCAGCAGATTATTGCTCAGAAAATCGCCGAATCTCAACGGGCCGAGCAAGATAATCAGGTTCAAGAATCGAGGGAGGATGACTACGAACCCCAACCACAGCGTGAAGTGCCAGAGAATATGATGGCCCACAGAATTCCCATTCCTGAAGAAATTCTGACCCAATTGAATAGGTAATGTAGCTTTTGGTTTTCATCGAACGTCTATAGTTTTTTCTCGTGGGGTTTCAGATTGCCAAACAACGACCGCGTTATCGTAGCCGTATCTGAAAATGATTCTTCCGAGGACGATTCTTCTTCTTCCTCCTCTTCTTCCGACGACTCGTCGCAAGATTCTCAGGAGATGCAGTTGGTACAGGAACCGAGACAGACCGCTTCGGAAATGAACGGAAGGCAAGCGTACGCCAGACGACTTCCGGTGAGCATTCCGGTGAACATGATGCAGCAGCAGATGCACGAACAAGACCAAGAGCCACAAGCCGTCGCTTCTGAGGACGTTCGCCCACATTGTAAGTTGAACGTGAATTTAGATGGCAATATGAACTGGGAAAAAATTTGTGTTTCACGAAAAAAAAGTATTACTTGCTGTTTGAATAAAAAGGACGAAACAAATAATATGGAAATAACAAGGGCTAGATTTGTCTTAAAATTGTACCACCGTGGTAGTACAATTTTGATGCGTGTGTCAAGAGAAAAAACACTGCAAAACAATTTATTCTTCGTTCGTATTATATCATTAAAACAAGGGCTGGCTACAAGGAAAATAGAAAAAATGACAAAAGCTGTGTGTGCACCAATTTGTGATACGAAAAGTAGATTGTATTAATTTCTAGGTTTAGTGTGACTATTTTTCAGATTTAAAAAAAAATTATCGAATTTATGGCCCATAGCGACCATGAAACTTTTTTCATATAATTTCTAGCCAAAACTATTACAAATTAAGAGCGCCTCTTATTAATTTGGGCCTGTGTTCTGTATGTCAAAATTTCGTCTGAAACTGAATTCAAAATAGTATTGTTATGCCGGAAAAAAAAATTTATATATATATGACTTCATAATAATATACTCACACATACATACAATACACAAATTAGAGAAAAGGAGGAAAATAATAAGTTCCGAAAAAAAAGTTGAAGTTAAAAGTCCATTTTACATTGTTTTAGACGTGCAACCCAGATCAATTCCGGCCGATGATGGGCAGGCCAAATCTAGAGTCGCCAGATCCGTCAACCCCCTTGTTCCGGAAAAGAGGGTGAAACGTTGCTCGTGCGACTGCGCCTGTTAAATCACTACGGCACTTTTGTAAATGTGGATAAAAAATATTATAACTGTTATAATATCCGTAGGTGTAGGTGAAGTACTTATAATTTAGATAAAACCCCAAAGGCTTCCACACCCCGTCAATACTAACCGCACTTTCCGGGAGGTCCGCGCGTGTAAATCGATTTGTTTTCCTGTCGCTTTTTTTCCCATTTCGCAACAGAAGCAATCCCTTTATTTTCCTAGTTCGTAGAATACGTTGTTTTATTGTGAAATAGTGGTCTTGTAAATAGTCGACTAAAATAGCAGTTTCGGTCTATGTTATTGTGATAGAATTCCTCTGTACAAATAAGGTTTTAAAATATACGAAATTATTTTCCGCTTGTTCTATATTATTGTTGCCTTTTTTGCGGATCCTAATGCGCGCCACTGTATCGGGCAGAGCAATGCGGTAGCAAAAATTATTTTACAATGCAAGCAAGAGGAAAATATTTATCTAATTCGGAAGTAATAATAAAAAAGTGTCTTTGTTAAAAATCAAAATATTACAATATCAGTATCTAGTAGGACAAGAGTGGCGACACTCGCAAATTGCGCTCTTCCATGTAACCACAAGGACAACCGAACCAACACCATAATAATCTACAAAGTCATAAACTCATTCGCTATTGCTAGATACTGGCACTCCTAATAAACAATCTTAACGCTTGTTTGAAGGAATTTATTGTGAACAGGGACGTTTTAGCATAAGGTATTTCATTAAATAATAACCAAAGTGTGTCTAAAAACAAAAGTGGCTAACTGAACTTCCGCTTGAGCCAACTCGAATCAGAGAGGCACTGTGAAATATGGTCATACTTTCTGAGATTGTAACTAAAACGAATATAAGCATTCTGAAGTCGTTGCAGTCTCTCCTTATCTCGATTAAATATAGCTGACCAATAGACGATACTGCAATAAGCGATATTTGATAAAAGTAACATATCACGGAGTTTAAGTTTGACTTCTTTACTGAGAAAATGTTTATGAAAATACAATGTCCTCAAGTTATTGAAGGATCTTTGTAACACCGAACCAACATGCTTAGATAACCGCGAGTGGCCGTCCAACCATAATCCTAAATTTTTACACTCGTCTGAAGATGGAGAGAGAATCTCATCATTTAGCTTAATCTTAAAACAGTCGTTTTTTGCAATATCTTCCCTTTTATTTCCAAATAACAACATCTGCGTTTTGTTAGCATTCAATAAGAGGTTGTAAGCCGCAGATACCTCCGAAATTATTTTTAGATCTAAATTTATTTTAGTAGCTGCGTTTAAAGCTTCACTAGTAACAAAAACAATAACTGAGTATCATCGGCGTAGTGATAAGATTTACAAAATTTAAGAAAAGTAAAGAAGTCAGCTGTATAAACTGAGAACAGAATAGGTCCCAGAATATTCCTCTCCAAAGAGTATGAGAGAATGAGTATTTCCTATAACTACCCTTTGGTATTTCTGATCAAGAAAATTTAAAAAAAATTAAAGAGTACTTTTTCTCCCGAAGAATTTCAGTTTAACCAGGAGAAGGAAATGATTCAAGGTATCGAACGAACAGTATGAGATAAGAGTTTAATTTAGAATCCGCTACTCTCAATAAATCATCAGTAACATGAAGCAAGGCAGAAGTAGTGCTGTGAAGAGGTGGAAAACCAGATTGAGTGTCTGGGAGAATTTCGTTATCGCATAGGAACTGACGAAGTTGTTTAGCTGCAATTTTTTCAATATATTTTGAGATGGTTGGCAGCAAACTGATTGGCTTAAAATCGTTAATGCCACTTGGACACTCTTTTTTTGGAACGAGTATAATTTCAGCTTGCTTCTAGTCCGGAAAAACCCCAGTCATCAGACATTTGTCAACAAGGAAAGTGATATGATCGACTAAATACGGAATAGTCAAAAGAATCATTTTTATATCAATATTGTATATATTTGTACAATATTAGTATAATATTAGTTTTAATACTAATCAAAGTTTTATTAACTTCCACAAGGTAAACTTTAGCAAAATGGAATGAATTAGGGCCAAATTGTTTATTAATATAATTTGCATAATAATTTGTTTATCAATATAATAAGTAATGGAATGGTTGCATTATTTTCATGTTCTTCGTGAGTTAAAGGAAAGCCTTACCGGTTTCCAATCAAAACCCAATACAAATTGATGGATGTCACTCCAGTCACATTAAATGACAATTATCCTATAAACAATTTTTTTTTTATTCCAAATTTTATTGTTAAACATTTTTATTCTAACGCGCACAGCAAAACGTTTGTAACAAAATGTTCACTTACAATTTAAATACGATACAATTGGTTTCTTGCAAATATCCTTTTTCTACAAACACCAGACTACAAGGACTGAGCCGCTAATAATCCTTTATTATCCTGTATGCAGATGGAATAGATCGCCTGTCAATAGAGGTCGACAATTCTCAGAGAGGTACAGCGTCCTCATGCATGAATGATTTACAATGAGGCTAGGCAGATGTGGTTAAACTAAAGAAATAACATTTTTGTTCAAGAAAATCTTAACAATTTTCTAGTCGATTTTGGTGAAATGTGACAATGGCATTTGCGGTAGTAAGGGGCCAATTTAGCACTAACCAAATTTAAGTTATTCGTTGCAGACCGGGCACGAAAAGCACTTAACGCAATAGTTTTCAAGCAAAATGAATGTTCCCACTCACTCTTTTAATTAAGGGTGATTTAAAAAGTTCTCGAAATTTATTTAGATTATTAAAAATACAAGTTTATTAATCTGAATCCATAGTGTCACCTTCAAAGTAGGGATTACTAGACTGCAACACACTTATGCCAGTGCTTGATCCAGTCCTCGAAACATTTTTTACATTCGGTTTTCGGTATGTCCATCAGTACTTTCTGTCATTTTTTCATTACTTCCTCTCGGTTCAAATGCGTTCGCCATAGTGATTTTTTTGACTCGATTGAACAAAAACAAGTCACATGGAGCCAAATCAGGCGAATTCGGTGGCTATTAGATGGCATTTTTTGTCAAAAAGTTAGGAATATTTATGGCATTTTTCGTCATCATAGTGCAAAATCCACGAGTTTTCTGCTCACAATTCTCGTGTCTTTCGGCGAATTTCTTCACACAAATGTCTCATAACACGCAAATAATACTCTTTGTTTACTCTCTGGCCTTCTGGCAAAAACTCATGATGCAGTACTTACACCTCTGTAATCTATGAAAACCGTCCGCTACCTTCTTTTTTGGTGACTGTGTGTCATGCAAATCATCTCTTTTGCGACGTCAATATGCTCCGTTTTTCTCATAAAATTGAGGTCTTTTGGCACCAACTTTGGGCAACACGACGAAAACCCAAATCATTAAAAAAAAATGTCTTGCACAGATATCAAGTCCTCTCCTAACTCTCTCATGGTTAATTTGCGATTATTGACCAACATTTATTTTATCAATAATTTCAACGGTTTCAGAACTCAAATCGGTTATTCCTGAAACTTTTTATTTATGAAAATTTAGTATAAAAATTAGAAAAAATTGAATTCCTCAATACTCCTCCCCCGCCAAATTCTTTTACAAATTGTACTGCTTTATTTATTACACAACAACACAAACAAACATATTTCTTGTAACTTTAAACTACTCAATACTTTTTTATTTATAAAAATTTAGAACTAAAACTTTATTCGAACTCAACCATAGTTGTGTATGTCCGTTATGAGACCCTGTTTCTATTTCAGCAATCTAAGCTTAACATACAGCTGAATTAAACATCGCATTTAATATTTATTGGATTTTGTGTTCTGTGTTTGTGTGGACCAACTTAATATTTAAATTAATATGACACTTGACATTTAACAATTTAAAATTACAAAAAGTATGATGTGAGCGTTACGTATTTGCAAGAGTAAAATTGATTATTCCAATTAAGTTGAATTTTATTAGTTTTTATTTTAATAATTATTTTATTTCAGTTATTACATTAAAATAAGTGTAATCATTAATTAAATTAATATAGGCTATTTTGCTCTATCTAGTTTAGTTTTCCCTCTTAAAACACTCCAATTACCACCACTCTTTACAAGAGATATTTAATATAAAGCAGTTTTTCGTGTTCTGGTTAGTGGCTTCAATGATCTAAATGAACACATACAGAACAATGCACAAAGAACAAATTAAAAAGAAAATTGTGTATAACGTATTGCCGATATTCTAACGTCACTTTCGGTTAACAAGTTAATTTAACTATCAACGTCACCAAAATTCCAGTGAAGAAGATCGTAATTTTTAATGGCCGATGCCGAAAAAGGAGCCAAAATTTTCAAGAGATCTTGCGAACAATGTCACACGCTTGAAAAAGGAGCCAAACATAAAAATGGTCCAAACTTGTTTGGATTATTCGGCAGAAAATGCGGCTCGATGAGCGGATTCTCTTATTCCGACGCTATGAAAAATTCGGCGTTGGTCTGGGACGAGAAAACTCTAAACGATTACCTAAGGGAACCTAAAAAATACATACCAGGATCAAAAATGATTTTTCCCGGTCTCAGAAAGGATAAAGAAAGGGAAGACGTCATCGCATACATGAAAAAAGCGTGTGGATAGATTAAATAAACAAGAATCTATCCCTCTGCGGAAATTCTAGCTGTCTAAATATATATTCCGAGTAATCTAATAAACTTAAAAAAGTAAATTGGCAACCAATTTGTTTTATGGTGGATGTGAATCGATGTGAGCGAAATCTTACGGACCCAGGAGTCAGAAAAGCTTTGGTGCGCAGCGTATACATAGCATAGTTTTGCAATTATTAGTGTCGAATAAGCGATAATTTATAGTCAATTATATAGATTACGAAGCAGTCGTAAAGGTGAACCATTTTTTTCAAGTGTTATTTCGTTCGCTGCACTTTTCTCAATATCAGTATTTATTTCTAATATTACTTATATAGAGAAGACATCAGCACTTTGATTCCATACGAAAACTTAACATAATTTGGACCGGTGACAACTGGTTTACAGTTTACTCCAAAACCGAGACAATTCGCCAGCATATTATTTATATGTAATGTCATTTAATAACTGTCCAACATTTCATAGGATAAATTCTCAAGATCAAAAGGTAAACAGGTATTTACAAATCTTCTTAACTGAAGCGCTCTGAAGCTCTGAAGAAGCCAACAGGATAATTGGCGAAACGTCTGCAGAAGATTTGTAAATAGTGTTACTGTGGAAGTTTCTTTGTAAAATTCAGGTAAAGAGGTTTTTGCTTTCGACATACAGGATGTCAGTTTTGATTTTTTCTACATAATTTCCTAAACAATGCCGACATCTGAATGAAAATTGGTACTTGGCGTTTT